CTCTCCGACCAAACGAAATAGATCCATAACCTTTCATCTCGGCATTACAGAGGCTCGCATCGTCGGCCTGTCTCTAACGAACCCTGCCCCGTTAGTCGCTCTCCAAAATTGTACTCCTGGATGAAAATACATTTTTTCGAAAACTGTCATAAAATGTTAACAATTTAGTTACGTCTTCTGTTAAAATGATACTTTAGTTAATTTAGGCCAGGAAATATAGAGTTGGACGCGACTTTTTGTTTCGACAGGCTGAATTTATCACTATACAGGGTCGGAAAGTCCCTATGATTCATCGGCCGTTACGTAAGAGCGATAAAGAAAGTCATAGAAATCCGTGCGATAGAGAAATATGGCTATAATGAAGGCGTCTAATGGTCACCGCCCATTTCGCCCTTCCACAAATAAGATCCACTTCTTATTGTACAACAACATATTAGTTTCTACAGTCATAAAAAGGCTGGTTAATTGTAAATTTTTACGTAAATTCACGTTTTTCGCTTATAACTTTTTTCCGTTCATTTCCACGAGAAAACAGTACATTATTTTTTTTTCGTCTTCAAAAGACCTACAAAACTAGCCCTCGAGCGTCAAAAATATTGATTAGATCAAAAGTTATAAACAGAAGAAGTTTATTTATGCCTTTCGAATTAAACATTTATAAACTGCGTTATTATTACCAGAACGTTTTGGCATTGCATCCTCTCATTCCTTATCACTGTCTAATAACTCACACGAAATCTGGAATCGGTAAGTTGAATAGTTTACAAGTTATGACCTTATAAACAAATTAACCAATTATTAGTCTGGACGATCCCGAGCATCTACAATCGCACTGATTTTTTTCATGGTAGATTTCATAATAAAACATTGAAATCTATCATTTTTTTTTAAATTTCAAATTTGCAACCAGGAAATTTTTTTTATTTTTTAGCCTTAGTTGCAAAATGAAGTATACGACGCACGCGCGTGATATAGTTATATAATATTACAAATTCGGAAAACTTATGAAAAGAGCTTTAAGTTAAAAAAAATCGTTAAGATTCGTTGAAAAACAACGGAGTTACGGACTGTCAAATATATTATTTTCAAGCGAATTTCGCATTTTTAACGGCAGGACTATGAATATTATCGTCATTTTTTTCGGACTCGCTGTCGTTCGCTTCCCCCACCCTTCCGCCGCGCCACGGCTCGCCGAAAAATCAAGCGACCCTCTGACTTTTAACAATATTTCTTATGCACTTAACATACTTCCACAAATAAAATATTTTTACCTGGGAAAGTACTCGGGTTGACAGTTATGACAGTATTTTTTTTGCCGCTACCAACCTAATTTGTTTAACAATAAGCCGTCAACTTTGACAGTCTGTAACTCCGTTGTTTTTCAACAAATGTTGACGACTTTTTTTTTAACTTAAAGCTCTTTTCATAAGCTTTCCGAATAATATATAACTATATCATGTGCGTGCGTCGTATTTTTCATTTTGCAACTAAGAATAAAAAAAATTAAAAAAATTTCCAGGTTGTAAATTTGAAATTAAAATGATAGTTTTCAGTATATTATTATAAAATAACATGTGGTGATCATTTCTAATTATGTCGGCGTATGTAATTATGCGATTTTATAATTCTTCCCTACTATTTATAGGAGTTTGATAAACAAGACTTTTAAGACGGCACCAAAGAAAAAAATCGAGAGGATTAAGATCGGGAGACCGAGGCAGCCATGGAAAAGGACTACCTCGACTGACCCCATCGATCGGAAAATGTGGTATTTAAATAAGCCCTCACTGCCTTGCTAAAATGGGGTGGTGCACCATCGGGCATAAGCCACATGTTATTTCGAATATTTAAAGGGACGTCTTCCAATAACGGGTTAAGGTGTTCTTGCAATAAATGTAGGTATTTACCTCCATTTAAAACGTCATCAATGATATGTGATCCCACTAAATAGTTTCCAATTATTCCCATCCATACATTAGCGATAAATTTTTGTTAATGTTTTGTCTGAATAATAGCATCGTCACTTCAAATATGCAAATTCTATTTGGAAAGCGGTTGGCGTAAATCCGAACAGCTTCAGAAGCATTACATTCTGCAAGTTCGTACTGTTATATTAATATCTGCAAATTGTTCATAGCTAAAATCCTCCATGTTATTGAATTAACAAAGGGTGTCAAAATGATTAATGACAAATATCTAACTGTTAATTATACATACTTGGTGACAGTCATCTCAATTTCCAAGATTTTTGCAAAAATGTTAATATCGTATTTTTGATACAATACATGTATGTTGTTAATAAAATTCGATACGATTCGACGGTACCAGATATCGACTGATATACGGTATACATTTTTGTAGCAAAGTGAGAGAGGAATCGAACTATGAAAGAAAAATACCAACGCTGTCAAAGATGTATAAGTTTAAATGAACAATTTTGCCTGCTCCTGGATAATCCAGGCATATTGAATATCAGTTTATGGACATGAACATTACCATGAGTTACTTATATTGCCCAAATTTCATTGTTATCGTGGTAACGACTTAGAAGTTATAATAGGGTTGTTGACCAAATTTCAAAAAGTAGATAATATAATTCTGCACGTACTAACTAATGTATACGCAATTAGAGATTGAGAAATGCGTCAGAACAGTTTTAAAATAATTATTTAAAACTGATTTTTTTATAACATTTCAAAACGGCTGTGACGTCATAAGGGGCACCTTGTAGTGAAATTATATGTAAATGATTGCGTAAAGGAAAAAAATTGGAAGAAGACGCTCTGTCAACACTGTCAGTAGTGTCACGCTGTCACTGACACTGTCGTATAAAATATTTTCAAGTTTCTGAGTTATTTTCCTTAATCTTCAAATTCCTTTATTAAGTAAAATTATTATTTAGTAATAATCATTTAATAGTTTCCCATATAATTAAAACAGATTGTGTGAATCGGGATTTGTGAAAGGTACTTCGAAACCTTTACCGAAAATTGATATTTTTATGATCATGAATCGAATTTTTAAAAAGAGACGAGCGTTTTATTATTGGCGAAATCAGAGGTATAAAAGCAGTCAGGTAAGGATCAACATATATAACGAATGATATTATTGTGTTTATTTATATAAAATACCTATTTATTTATGGAAATTTATAGTGCAGTTCGGGAGTCTTATGGAGATAATGCAATTGGCTATGTGGAATGTGGAATGTGGAACAAAACACCACTTAAATTTTGTTGAATCCATTACAATCAGTAAATTAATAATAACTATCACAAATACTCTTAATTGATAGACTGCTGTCACTAGTGTCACTTTTATTTAAAAAACAGGAAACAGGGCAGCAGGGTTTGATGAACAATTTTGACATATTTTCTTCTTCTTCAAAATTATGCAATAGGATCGCTACTAGCTTCTTGTTCAATTGCCCCTTATGACGTTAGACTAGTTTTTAAGTAAGGCAAAAATTCATAAATGATTTCTACCACTAATTTGTCATATATTTAAAATTTGACTATACAAGCAGGTTCTTTTATATAAAATCTTTGACTCAACAACAATTTGTAGATGGTTTGTTTTTATAGTGGACAACCCTATTGGAATTTGTTTTACAAACTTCTTTCTTTGAAAGCGAATAACTCCGCAACGAAGCCCGACAGGAAAACATTTTTTATGAAGTACTACAACTATTTTGAGCTGCCCTGTATACCCCTTCATTTTTGACATGACCTTTCCGGACACCCTGTGTATATACTCAAACGTCTAATTCTACACAATGTATCATGTATGTTAAGTTCATATACTCGTACATTTTTTGTATATAAAAATCATTACAAATATGTAAAAATCTAATGTGAATTTCCACAATTATTTTTATCAGTGATTTAAAAAAATGTAAATATTTTAGTTTTACAAAAAAAAACATAAATTTGTTGTAAACAAATCACAAACTCAAATTTTACAATGATTTTATTTTACAATTAGTTGAATACACCGGGTACAAAAGGTAACGCTCCTTTGCGAGCAAAACTACGAATGTATATGAATCGAATAACCCCACATGATGGTCCTCGAATTGAGTCAGCGGATTCCAGCTTAACCCAAACAACGATAAACTACGCCAGGGTCGGTCGCTGCTTGAAGCCGTAAGAATCCATAACTCATAGTTTGCAACAAATTTATGCCTGATAATAGAAGAATAAATAATTTTTCAATAAAAGTAAAGGTGGAAAGCTTTAATAAGATTTCAATTCAACTATACTACTTCAAATCAGCATTACGCGAATATCTCATTTCCACCGACCTATCACGGCATCACCGTATCAAAAAGGTTATTTATTTCACTGTATTCCGGCTGAATATGGGTCACATTTAATCTAGCGTGTAAGATTAAATGGTCCGCGGTTTATTTTTATGATTTCGCGGTCAGTGAACTCACGTCGCGTTCGGAACTGCATACAGCTTTTATCATTTTGACTGATAACGTTTTTCCAGAAATCCCTTTGCCCAGTCCGAGCCGACATAAACAAACGAACGCTTGTGGGTTTAACTGTTTCCTATTCGTTCTCTTAGATACGATGGATATTTATATACAGAGTGTCCCACGGTCACGAAACATTAGATATATTTCAGAGACTAGTTCGATTTTAATGAAAATTTGGGCAATAGTGTTTTCGGACATGTCCTTCTCAACTAAAATAATGGCGTCCACCTAACGCTTCCGGTTATACCGAAAGTTAGCATCATCTTCGTTATTTTAATTGGAACACCCTGTATATTAATGCAATGTTGCATTCTACGTCAATTTTTAGGTGAACTTTCATAAAGGTTTAATTCTTAAAGTTTTGATATATATACCGCGTGATTCAGTTTGATATTTGCGGCCTCGTATCTCTTTTGTTTTACCAAATAGTTATGACAAACCCTATATATTTTTAAATCGCCGCTCAAACTCTATCAAATGACATTGTTAGATCGTCTCCATAGTGCGCCATTATTCCATGGCTAGAAATTGGCCTCAATGATTTGGGATCGAGGGGGATTATCCCTCTTTATCCTGCCTCATCTCTAATCTCCATCTCTCTCATTTGTTCCTGTCTGATATTATCGTTGTTGACTGGGATCAAATATTTCCTCACTTCGGCGAGGGCATACGCGACTCGAGCGTGTGCCTCAGCTGGTGGGCCTAAAGCGGAAATTTCAACGTGCAGGTCATCGGATAAGTGACTGTATTTCGGGTCGAGGGAATTGCGGCACTCTTCCTCTTTTTGACGGTCTTTCATCGAACCTCTTCCGAGAACAGCCATCTTGCACATGGTCTCCTCCTGAAGTCGCTTCATGGAGTTGCCTTTTGGACCCAGAAGTTTCCCAACAAAATTGAACTAAAAATTTGTTTTCTAAATAATAAATCGCAAATGAAGTTAAGGTCATGTATTCTCTAATTACATATATACAGACAGAATTATCAATTTTTGATAACATTACCTTGGGGTGTTCCCGAACAGGTACCAGTACTTTAACTGTGACTTTAATAGGCTTTTCTCTGTAAATATCCACATACTTTTGCTCCTTTGCTGGTGGCCTTCCCATTTGCTGAATTTTTGTTATTTCTATAATAAAATATCCATGTATTAGTTATATCAGAAAATGTAAGGAAAGTAATCGATAGAGATTATACATTTATTAGTACGTTTTGTAGAAAGTTTAATTGTAATTTGCAGTAATTTTGTTACACACTGCAATGATCGTTGAGAACATGTTATGGCTAAAATACTGAAGTGATGGTGACAGCACACCACTGTCAGTGGGTGTTAAGTATTTTTTGAGACAATCCTCTAATTTACACTAATAAATACAATTACTATGATCATTAATACACAATACATAGTAATGCTTACTCTGTGATTAGTGTTGAAAATAAAATGGTCACAAATCGGAACCACAATCACTCCTTGTATGTTTTTTGCCGCTTGTGTCTTGTAAATGCATGATGGCTGAAGTAATAGCATTTTTCTAGAAGAGTGTAGAGTATTATTTTTTAATAATGGGGTAGTTTTCTTCAAGTGCAAGGAAAACGGAAATCAGTAATTTTTTTACTTTCATTTGAAATTTTATTTTGTGTAAGTTAAAGCACAAAGCGAAAAATTTGGGAAGTCTATTTTTTATGTAGGATTNGGGACAGGACGGTGCCCTGGGGGACACCGGCCTCCATGGGACGGGTGGTGGAAAGGGAATCTTGGATTTGGATGCGGAATTTTCGGTGGTGTAGGTAGGATTTTATGAGTTTGGTAAAGGATATGGGATATTGGTTGGTGAGCATTTTCATCAGTAGGCCTTCATGCCAAACCGTATCGAAGGCCTTTGCGACGTCCAGGAAGACAGCACCAGTGTACTGTCCCCTGTTGAAGGCCGCCGTGATGTGCTCGGTAAGGCGAAGGATTTGGAGTTCAGTGGAGTGATTGGGTCGGAAGGCGAACTGCTCGTCTGGAATGACTTGCAGTTCTTGGGAGTGGGTTCTTAGACGGGTTAGGATAATTTTTTCTACCACTTTGCTCATAGCCGGGAGCAGGCTAATGGGCCGGTAGTTGGATGGGATGGTGTGATCTTTGTTGGGTTTTGGGATAAGGATTATGTTTGCCATCTCCATAGTAACATATGTTAAAATTGCTATAGTCAACTGTCAAATGCCACACTATATATTTTTTTATCAATTCTGGAAGATATTTTTTTTTCAGCATTCAGCTATATAAAGAAGTATATAGTTTCATTAGAAATACTGCTAGAAAAACAGCAAAAAAGATGAACCCTACTTTCAGTAGCTTTATTCTGAAAAATGATAGGCAGCTGCGGAAACAACTGAATTGTGACGTTTCTAAATAACGGTTATTCAAAGTAATTGACATTTTGTACCTACCTATTCTATCTATTAATTATTATTACTTATAATAACCAAGAAAAACTAGATATGATTTTAATTTATGGAGAGTGCTAAAAGAACGCTAAAGCTGTCAGGCATGTATACCAACATCGTTTTCCGCAGAGACAACTTCCATTAGATAAAATTTTCGGAAAGTTAGCCAGGAATTTGGCAGCAGTTGGTTTTCAACAGAAAAGAAGAGTTTTCAAACTCAGAAGAGTAAGAGATGAAGAACATTCGATATAGTATATTAAGCATTAAGAACGGTAAGGGTAATTTACCGTTCGAAGACAATGTTTGGAGGCTGAGCGAAGCGAAGCCTCCAATTTTGTCTGAGAACGGTATAACTCTGAACGTTCGTGATGCTTATATTATTTTTTGCACGATCGCAATAAATGAAAACGGAATTATATATACGTATTTATTTTTTTATGTAACGTCAAAAATGACGTTTCTGAATAAATTTGCGAAGCAGGTTTTTTTAAATCTACTGATGTTTATTGTTGTCACGGCTTTCTTAATTGACGAAATTGACAGTTCTAGAATAGAATAGAAATTGAAAAAACATGTACTGCTCCAATTTCTGTAAGCAATTGTACAAACTGTACATTTAATTTCAACATTAATAAATAGATTTAAAATACATCTTTCTTTTATATCAATTACCCACATTTAAAACTGAATTCTAGAAAACTCATTCCAAATCAATGCGATGTTGAAAATGTCTATTTTGACAGTTATTCACTTACCGTTCTAGAACGGTAAGTGAATTACTTACCGTTTTGTTAGCCTTAGCAACCAGTAAGCGCATCCTACTGTCGTAGAAACAAACATGGTAAGTGAACTAAAAAAGCTTGNTGCTATAGATCTCCGGATCTCATTCCTATAGATTTCTTTCTTTGGCCTTACCTAAAAGAAAAAGTTTACTCTTCGCCTTTAAATGATATTGACGACCTTAAAAACAGAATAAGAGTAGAATGTCGGAGATTAAATGAAGAAACACTAGAATGTGTTTGTAGAGAGGGAGTGATAAACAGAGCTATTCTGTGTTTGGATGCAAATGGGGGTCATTTTGAACATTTGAAATAAGTATTCTTTTAAATTGTTATCTTATTATCGCATTAAAAATAAAATATGTTACTTTAAAAAACATAGTAACTTGTTTTCGCAGCTGGTTATCATTTTTCATAATAAAGCTATGAAAAGTAGGGTACATCTTTTTTGCTGTTTTTCTAGCAATATTTCTAATGAAACTATAGACTTCCTTACATAGTTGGACGCAGAAAAAAAATATTTTCCAGAATTGATAAAAAAATATATAGTTTGCTATTTGAACAAAAACAGTTGACTATAGCAATTTTGACATATGTTACCATGGAGACGATCTAATAATGTCATTTGATAGAGTTTGAAAGGCGATTTGAAAATATTTAGGGTTTGTTATAGCTATTCGTTAAATTAACAGAGATACAAAACTGAATACCAAACTGAATCACCCGGTATATTTAATTTTTATTTAAAAAATTAAAAAAGCACTGCCTTATTCAGAAAGATGTGTAGTTTACAATAATAAAGTTAAAAAAATAGCGATAAAATTTATAGGGGACATAACTAAAACTCTAAGCTTCCCTGCCATAATTTCAAAATGACTTCGTTTCATACAGGGTGGTAGAAATTTAATGCCGAATTTAGTCAACTTTAAACCATCTTAACTTATTTTTTTTTTAATGGAACACCCTGTATATTTTTGTACAACCTGATGAACAATTTTGTTCTCTTTCGAATGGTATAATGATTCTCTAAACCTATGGATGGAGGATGGCTGTGAAATTTTTAGTGGAACTTCAAAAAAAGCACCTAATTTGTCACCAGTTTATTGTTGTCAATTTAACACACAGTGAATGTTTATTTGAGTATTATTTATTGTTAATGAATCACCCTGTATAACAGGGACAGGCAGGCCATGTTAGGGACATGAACAAAATTCAGATGGATCGCGAAAAATGTTTCTAATGATCAAAGTTACACAAGTATTGGTTGAAATTTTGGAAACAATTATTACTTTCTTATGTAGAAATAACAGAGAACAGCTATTTTTGGCATTATATTTCTTTGTCAATGGTGGTTTTCTAAAAACCTCTGCAGATTTATGTGGAGTTAATATAGCTACAGCAAATAAGGTGGTGAAAAGAGTAAGTTTAGCAATAGCAGGCTTGTGACCACAATATATAAAAATGCCAGAAGGTGAAGAAATCAATCAAATTCGACAAGCCTGAAAACTTACTTTCTCACAGAAATAAGTCACAAAATTTGACACTACAGGCTATTTCTTCCTCTTCTTCTAAATTTTGTCACTTGTCCATTGGAATAAATTCGTAATAACACTAAAAATTAGCTTAACCCCAGGTTGGCTTACTTGAAGACGTAATAGCTTTTGTGAACCAGTTGAATTTTTTAACCACAAGTTAATTCTTGGGTCAAGGAGATAACCAACGACTGTAAAACTGGCCGTAACGTAAATTAAAAGTAGTATTCGAATTTCCTGAATATACAGTGGCGTCGAATTTCTAGGTTTCTTGGAGATTCATATACGGATCTAGTGGATTTTTACCTTTAATTAGATAAGTCATCAGTCAGATGTGTCATCACTCTACACCTTTATTTTAAGGATTAGAAGATAATATAATATAGGATGGTTCATGTTAAAATGGAATTCGCAATTTTTGATGCGGTTGATTTGACCTTCAGATGGCCCCTAGGGGTCAATCTGACCCAAGATCAAATATACATGTCTGAACGTAGAATTTCCAACTCTTCCCATTTCTGGATAAAACAACTGGGGTTTCCATTTGAAATGCAGAAGTTGACTTCCAAACGACCTCAAAGTTTGTCTTATCGTATGGCCTTTTTAAAACTTACTATTTTGTTCTGAAAATTGTTCAGTTGAAGGTTATCCTGCAACAGTTATTCGGGGTGATCGAGTAGATAATACATATATTCTCCATTGTAAAGGCCAACGTCTTAAAATATACCAAAGTGCATGTACCCGCAGTTTGATATACGGTTACAAGTTTGGTGTAGAACCATAAAAAAGTTTATTGTTCTTGAAGCGTGCGGGTGGTCGCCAGTTCAAAGCAAAAGTAAGTATTTAAAATAAACCGAGAATAATTTTGGAGAAACTCGATCCCCAGTGTTACTTACTGTGTGGCCAAGCAAACTTTATCTTTGCACGCGCAAAAGAAAGTTCATTAGCGTACAAAAGTAGGTACTCGCATTTATACACTCCTAATCCTAATTTTCTTAATAAATAAAAGAAATGTTTTTACTTCATTTTACAAGAAAATAGCAATGACATGTATTTTTTCATAGTTATTTATTGTACTAGACTGTAGACGGAATTAAAACTTTTCATAATAAATATTCTTTTATCGACGAGCGAAAAGTTTCTGTCATTGAATTTTTAAAATAAAAACATTAAAAAATACAGTTACCGTCTCCATCAAGTAACGCTTCTTAATGTTTTCAGATACAACAAACTGACTAATTGATTACACTGCTTAAGAATTTAACTTATTGGTTACAAACTTAAAATCTCGAAGGTCTCGGAAAACCAATTAATGTCATGAGATGTTTAAGACATATTTGCTCCCCTCTTCATCCACGATGCTTTGGTGCTGATCTGATACCAG